CCCATATCAGCAGTAACAGTTATAATATCTTCAACAGGTAATGCAGAAAATGAGTTATAATTTGAAGTGTTACCTTCAAGGTTCCTTTTCTTAGCCATTCTTTCGTTCTTCTCCATTGTCGTAACGGCAGTATCCTTCTTAAGCCTCTCACTTCAACGTCTCTCCGGAGTTTGCTGAGATATCATTGATTGGTTGTTCTTTTGACCAGGATCAGAAGTATCATCATTGACTTGCAGTTCATTAGACTTGTCAGAAACATTCACTTCTCCCCCCACACTCTCTAGGGTGTTAACGATGTGGTCGTCAGGGATAAAAAAATGGAATGTTTCTTAGATACAAAATGTTTATTAGAGGACGGACATATGAAATGGGAACTTGAAATAAAAGCAGCAGCCGTAGAGTAGAGCATCAGGCTTCAGGCACCGCTGTTTGTCAGAGAAGTGTGTAGCTAACAATGCAGACGTACGCTTAATTGGTGGTTTACTTTCAGGCGATCCAGACCCTCGGCGGCACGAGCTGAGATTCCACGAGCCTCCCGGGGCAGCCGCCATGGCCGCCGCGCACCCGGAGCTGCTGCACAAGTACCACCATGGCCGTTTCGAGCTCGGCATTGGGCAATCCATGGTGAGTGAGAGTTGTTATTTGTAGCAATGACAGTACAGTACAGAACGTAGCAGTTCGTAACCGTAATAAGCTGTTATTAATAAGTTCCAACGACATTGGCTGTAACTGATGATGAAGGTGTTTAACAACAACGCCATTGCTGACCATCAGAGTTATGGCGCTGCGTACTATCCCTTCTACGGAGCCCAAGCTTTGGTACGTACATGAACGTCGTATATACCATCTTCGTTCACACAGATCCTTGTTAGCTTCTCAAGACTCAAGTAGGAGGAGTAATAATCTACCTACTCGTGCTGACTCGTTTCACCATATATATTATATATATTTGCAATTAAATGATGAAGCACGGGAAGGTGCTCCTGCCGCCAGCGATCGCGGCCGAGGAGCCGGTGTACGTGAACGCCAAGCAATTCAACGGCATCCTCCGGCGGCGCCTGGCGCGCGCCAAGCTTATGGCCGCCAGGGACCGCCGGGTCTCCGGGAACCGCAAGCCATACCTGCACGAGTCACGGCACCTGCACGCGCTGCGCCGGGCGCGGGGCACCGGCGGTCGCTTCCTCAACACCCGGAGCCTTGACGGCAACCCGCACAAGCCGCCGCCCGAGGGCAGCGCTGCCAGCACGGCGAAGGCGGCGGCGAGGCTGCAGCAGAAGGAACGGCAGGCGGACGCCTTGTTCCTCTCGTCGCTGGTGAACATGGCGGGCGGCGACGGCGACGGCGGCGAGGCCACCAAGTGGCCCGGCGGCGCGCCGTCGCTGGGCTGCTGCGACCTGCTCAAGGCGTGACGGCGGCGGGTGGGCGGGAAGAGAGCCCTCGCCGTCGCCTGGCGGACGGTGTGGCTCTCTAGGACGTACGGCAACTCATTCTTGGCTCCCGGGTCCCAGGTGTGTAGTGTGTGGTGCACAGTGCCCAGCGAGATGCAGAGCAGCTCCTTGCTGTGCACCAATGCAAACCAAGGCGCGCTGCTGCTACATTGTTTCAGTGTGCATGTAAAAACCGCAAGTTCGTTTGATGCAGAGTTGCAGACGCTAACTTATTCATGTTTCAAAGATCTCGTCCTGTTTGATGCATGAGATGGACAGTTGTGTGCACTGATGAGTGTGATGAGTTGATGACTAAACGGCCATACTCCCAAGGCATTCAAGCACGTTTGGACGCCGGCCTCACATCTATCTATTAACCAGAAAACTCCAACACTAATGTCCTGCCGCTGACTGAGCATGACATAAATTGCAATCTCAAATGAAACTGAAAACTAGCTTATCCAATCGAACACAGCCACCACTTTAATGCCACAACCAAAATACGGTCTTTTCACACAACCACCACTTTAATGCCCCAACCAAAATCCAAAATATGGTCTTTTCCTTTTTCGATGAAGGTTTTAGTCTTAGGACATTCTACAACAGGTTGTTTCTGCACAATAAGCCCAAAACAAGCAAATGGTACTGACAAATCCCAGGCCATCTCAAGCCACACAACTGAATTAAGAGCCTGTCACTGCTGCATATCACTGATCGAATGAAATCAGCTAAGAGCCTAAGAATGAAACATATGATGCAGAACAGAAGCTGCATCAACTGAACTTCCTGAAACAGGGCATACTTCCCTAATTGATCATATTCAGAAAAACCAATCAAGAGCCCCTGCATCAACTGAACTTCCTGAAACAGGGCATACTGCTGCATATGTTGGCAACACAGAAAAACCAATCAAGAGCCCCTGTTATGGTTCCATTCCTTGAATCTTCACTAAAAAGGGAAAAAATATTTGTACATGATGATATGAAAGACTGCAAGTCTCAAATCAAGAACATCCTGTTGTTTGATGGAGTCAGAAGGGAGCCCACAGCCCAGTCAAACATGGCATGCCTCCTTTGCTCGTTGTCTAATAAACTGTAAAAGTCCTGTTGGACTGTGACTGTCAGTAATGTTTTCAGTGAACTGAAACAATACCGTGAAATAATAATATGTTTGAACCTCAGAGCTTAAGTAATGAGTCTTGTTCCATTGAGTAAATCGCTGGAACTTTGCTTAAAAGCTCTCCAGTTCAACCAACATTTAAACAGGACAGTATTTAAAACAATAACATCCTGGTTGGTGAAACTGTGTTTGCGAAGAAACCATCTCAACTAGGACATGATTATGTGGGTAAGAAAACTCCAGAAAGGTGGACGCTCATATCCTGTCCCTAACTGAGCACGCTATAAATCACAATCTCAGATTGAAATTGTAAACTAGTTTATCCAATCAAACACAACCACCACTTTAATACCACAACCAAAATACGGTCTTTTTCTGGTTTTAGTCTTAGGACATTCTACAACATGTTGTTTCCGCACAATAAGCCCAAAACAAGCTAATGGTATCGACAAGGCCCAGGTCATCCCAAATGACACAGCTGAAAGTCTGAAACAAAGCAATTAAAAAAGAATACAGAAGAATGATCAGCAGCAATCGAACAGGATATGCTTCTGTAGACTTAATAGTCCCCCTTTCAGTAATGCAAATTACTGGAATCAACAGAGTCCATATCTGTTGTAAAACACCACAATTAACAAATGTGAAATCTTCCTGGACTTATCCAGCACTGTATCTCTAAAACACCACACTTTGACGTTGCAAGAGCATCATAATCCCGGATTTAAAATTTTTCTCAGGTTTATCCATCTGAAGCATTACAATAACTAGTAGAATTTGTACGATTTTGCGAACAACAAATGAGGGTTTGGGTTTGTAATGTCAACGCAAAAAGTGAAGCATAGTCCCTATAGTTTCATTAAGAAAGAGTAGCATACATCACCAACAGGTAGCAGAATCAAATCAAAATCACATAACAACTGAACTTGATCCACCAATTTTCGAAGAGAAATTGCAGTGAAGGGAAACAAGGTATTAAGATGAATACCCATGATAGTCATATTATTCGAAGAAGGGAAAACATAGATAGAAACAAACAGAGCATATATAACCCTGAATCCTAAACTGTAAAATCCTGTTGGTCTGCCATGATGTTTTCAGTGAACTGAAACAAAACTGTGGAATAACATTTTTGGACCTCAGAACTGAGGTAATAAAGAGTTACAACGAATAAATTACTGGAACTTTGCTTAAAAGATCACTGGTTCGACCAACACTGAAACATGATTATAATTGGGCCCAGTTTAGATGCAAAATTTTTTGCAAAATGAGCACTGTAGCATTTTCGTTGTTATTTGACAATTAGTGTCCAATCATAGTCTAATTAGACTTAAAAGATTCGTCTCGTGGATTTCGTCTAAACTATGTAATTAGTTTTATTTTTTATTTATATTTAATGCTTCATGCATGCGTCTAAAGATTCGATGTGACGGAGAATCTTGAAAAATTTGGCAAAACGAAGTGGAACTAAACAGGTCCTTGGTAAAGCTGTGTTTGCGAAGAAGCCATCTCAGCTGGGAGATGATTTTGCAGTAAGCTTAAGAAAGCTCCAAAAACGTGGGTGCTAATAGCCTCTCACCAACTGAGCATAACATAAATCACAATCTCAGATGAAACTGTAAACTAGCTTATCCAATCAAACACATCCACCACTTTAAAGCCACAACCAAAAGTACAAAATATGGTATTTTCCATTTTTCATTGCAGGTTGCAGTCTTAAGGGCATTGTACAACAGGTTGTTTCTGTACAATAGGCCCAAAACAAGCTACTAGTATGGACAAGTCCCAGTCCATCTCAAGCCACACGGCTGAATAAAGCAACTAAAAAGAATACAGAATAGTGGTCGCCAGCATTCAAAAATACTTCTACAGACAGAGTATTTGCTTAATAGACTTACTTAACAATACTGTCACAACTGCATATAACAGTTCGAAGGTAAAATCTCAAAGTTACCAGAGGAGGCCATATCCGGCTTCGAACACCACAGTTACTAAATGCGAATCTCTCCTGGATCTACCCAGCATTGTCTCAAAAGTACCACTCTTTTTCATCGCAAGAGCATCAAAATCGCCAATTTTAAACTTTTCAGGCTTATTCAGGAGAACAACACCAACACATCACTCTTGGACATTACAATTACTAGTAGAATTTGTGTAATGCACTACCCAGCAATAAGTTTTTTTTTTTTTTTTTTTGCAAACAAAAAAGGAGAGTTATGTAATTTCAATGCAAGATGTAAGACAGTAATCCTTGTAGTTGCAGTGAAAACAGTAGCATACACCATCAGGTAGCATCACCAAAATCAAGTAACAGTATCAAAATTTATTCAGTATAAATTGCGTCCCACGTCATTACGCGTAGAACAGCCTTATTTCCCCACAAAGGGAACCAAAATTAACCTCACGAACTAGTATTATGAAACTAATAACCAACCCAACAACAATTGTTAGTTATACTCAAACCTTCTCAGCAACTGCTGCTTCTTTCTTCGCCTCGCCGGCGGGTGGCGGGGAGAAAGCAGCCGGCTGGGGCACGCCTTCCTCTTTATTCTCGGCATCGTTCCCCACGCCGGCGGCTGGCGGGGAGGAAGCAGCCGGCTGGGGCACTCCTTCCTTAATCTCCGCATCGGTCGCTAGCTCCCCTCCCTTGCCCTTCGCGGCGGCGGCCTCGGCCTCGGCGCGCTCGTTGACGGCCTCTTCGGCCCTGAGCACGGGCGCGTAGTAGTCGGCGTGCGCGTCCATGCACTTCTTGAGGTTAGCGGTGGTCTCGTGGCAGCGCTCGACCATGTCGTCGCCGTCCTTCTGCGCTGCCTCCACGCACTCCTCCCACGCCACGAAGGTGTCCCTGCAGCCGCCGGCCTTCATGAAGAGGCAGAACCCGCACTCCCCTTCCTCCTCCTCCTCGGCTTCCTCCCCCTCCGCCTTCTCCGCGTTCTCCGCCTCCGCTCCGGGGACAGGCTCTTGCGGTTGCGGCGGCCCTTCTTGCTCGGCCGCGGGGGGCTCTTGCGCGAGGCTCGGCTGCGCGGCGGGCTCGGGGGACGCCATTGCCTTCTGTGTCGATCTGTGCGCGAGGCGAGCTGGCTGGGAGGGTGGTATGGGGGGGAGCTGCGGCGCGTGGTGGCGGCGGTACTTCTTGGGGAGGAGGAAGGAGTCCCGCCCGCCGCCGCCCGAGGAGCACGTCGAGTTGGTGTTGGTCTTGGTCTCTGCACTCCAACAGCAGCTGGGGTTTATCCCTCGTGGGCCGTGGTTTCGTGTACGAGTCTGGGTCGAGGGCTTGAGGCCCATAAAATCATAGACCGGTCACTCGTCCGAGACCCAATGCCTCAGGACTCACGAGGCAGCGCATATAAGATGCACAAGAGTTAAGCAGTCCTTGTGGCTATTCTCTCCAGTCTTCTTTCCCCGAGCTACAGTGGCTTCAGGCGATTTTGAGGGCGACCTCGCTTTCCCTCAGCAATCCACTAGCCCCCTCCCCTCCGGCATTCCTTTGTGCGTTGGAGTGGCGAGGGGAGCCCGGCACCTCGGCGAGAGGGCCCTGTATAGCCGTAGATGTAGGTCTCCTAGCTTGTATTTACCTCGTATGGCTTCTAGGTCGTCGGCTAGGTTTTATCTTCTCCTGCGCTTTTCTGGTGGCGGCGGCAGTGTCGGCGCCACCTTCAGCGTTGGTCGTAGGAGTTTCTTGTTCCTCCTTGGGCCCTCTGTGGAAGATTTCGTCGACGTCATCTTCTTCGGCGAGCCAGAAGCGAGGTCCGGCTTGCTCATAAATGGGTTGGATTTCTTCTCGGTGCGGACTCTGCTGGGAATATTTTGCTTCCTTCATGCTTTCTCTGGTGTCTATGTTCGTGGTGATAGGTGTTTGGCGGTGGCTATTGGGCGGCTTGAGCACGATGGTGTTTTATGTGGTCCACTCAGCACCGACGATGTTCTTTTGATGCTTTCTTCAGCATCGGTGTTCGAATCTGCCGTGAACTTATCTGCGCCAGAGGTGTTCAAGAAGTCTGCAGTATCGCCAATGTTGCAATCACCGACATGGTTGCTGGAGGCTGGGGGATTGTTTTGTCCCTCCGAAGTGGTTACGACATCCATAATGTTGTCCGTGACTGCTTTGTGAGGTTATCTCTCCACCTCCTTCGGTGTCCGAGCTGGTGTTCTCCGAGTCCCCTTGCGGGATTGTTGTTTGTCGACTGGGCTTTGCTGGTGAGACGATCGGTGACCGAGCCTGGTGAATGCGAGGACCGCTCGGGGCGTTCAGCGGATAAACGGCATGCTTCTGGTGTGCTACTGATGGGCTTTGAGAATGTTTTCATCGACTCAGGTTCCGGCCTTGAGTATCATCCAGAGTTCTTCATTGCGGGAGATGGAGAAGGCTTGGCTTGCGGCAATTGTGGTCGACAGCGGCAAGGATCGTTGGGTGCTCCTAGCGTGGATTTCTATGTAATTTTCTCTTTTGATAGGAGTGCGCTGTTTAAGGGACTGGATGTAATAGAACTAGGAATGAAATCCAACTTTTTTTCTAAAAAAAATAAGATGCATAAGAGTTTCTTTTTTCCTTTTATATTATTTTAAAAACAGAGTTTCCTTTTATTAAAAAATAATAATATGATAAAATAAAAAAAAGTGCCACCCCATTTACAATAATTTTATATACTAATTTACGATAATGTCAATACATATTTACGATAGGAACTAACGCCAAACACATCAGTAAATCTCTCTCTATATATACACGCGCTATTCTTGTAGAATACTATTCTAAATCATGTTGTTATATAACATATTGAGATATTTACCATAACGTTAAAAATTCATATATATATATATATCTATATATATATATATATATATATATATATACTACTACTTAAGTCGTGTTTAAATATTTTTTAGTATTTTAAGTATTCACTTTATCATGGGTGTACTGGCTACAAAATAACTTATTCTATAGCTAGCTACTAAATATACTATATATATATATATATATATGAGCGACCGCCTTGAACACGTACCAATTTACAAATATGCATTACTCACGGTGATTTTTTTTAGGTCAATTTTGACTTGCGGTGTAGAATAATATTCTACACCTAGGGTGTAGAATAGCGTTGCCGCCCCTAGCCACATTTAACCATTCGGGTTCGTATTCTTCACCTAGGGTGTAGAATAAAAACTGTTCAAGTTATGCAAGCGAAACATTTTTGTCACGATGTTGCATAGAAATTAGTAGTTGAATGAATGAAAATTAATTCACTTCGCATAGAAACCTCCTCATGAAATGGACGCTCCACCGACACAACTATAGAGTGTGCACACCATCCAATAAGTGTTTCATTTTTTCATTATAATTCCTCAACAAAGCATCCGATTCAAAAGCGCTTGATCCTAACTTTTTGTGCACGACACCATTGTGAATATTTTTAAAAAATAAAATTCATAAATTCGTAGCCCCGATAGGATGTAGAAAAGTATTGCATAGAAACTAGTGGTTTGATGAATAAAAAATAATTTCGTTACCACATAAAAACCTCTCCGCAATATGAACATTCCACCGCACAATTCACAACATCATAGGTGTAGAATACTATTCTACACTAAGCTATCAACGTATGCTAAGAAAAGTTTTTGAATAGAAATTTAATAAATAAAAATTAATTTTGTTACCGTGTCATAGTTTCCACCGACATAACCGTTTGTCACTATCATTTCCCAATATGAGGATGTATTTGTATAGAACGAGGTACTAGGTGTATCTACGTAAAAATGCACAATCGTGACTACTAGTATTTTTCGACATTGCACACATGTAAATTAGTAGATCAATTTTAGCTTATAGTGTAGAATAAAAATTAATTTTGCCACCGCGCTGCCATATATATTTTTGAAATTATGTATATATATATATATATATATATATATATAATGTATAGAAATATATTCTTAAATAAAAATATGCAACAATGTATAGAATTACTAGCAATTGTGTAGAAATGTACATACACCTACTCCAACAATGTATAGAATTGTATCCCAACAATATATAGAATTGCATACCAACAATGTATAAAATTGTGTATAAGCGTACAAATAATTGTTCTAACAATGTATGTCGAAGTGTTCTAACAAAGCATAGAAGAGTGCTCCAACAATGTATAAAATTATGTAGAAGTGCACAGATAACTGCTCCAACAATGTATAGAAATTTGTTGTAACATCAACTACACAAACTTTTTACATTAACCCATCAACTACATCAAGATCACACTACGCTATCGCTGCAAGGCAAGGAAGTCGTGAACGTCGCAAGCCATGTCATTTGTCTGAGCCACCGTCGCCCTCACACGAAATGGAGAGGAATTCATTCTAGCCATCCTACATCACAACAAAAGGAATAAAAACATGTTTTAGTAGGCGCAAAAACCTTACAGCAGTAAGACAGGAATAGAAACATATTTTAGCATGCGCTTGTGTTTTCCCTGTCTGTGTCGATTGAGGACTGTCCGTTGCTATGGATGGTAGTCTGGTCACAGACTTATTATCCTGAGCACATACTTGCTTATGGGAGCGGGAAGGCTCGTTACTTTCTTGTTGTGGGTTCCGGCTCTTTCCGGACTGACTGATTGGAGGCGGGGGAAAGGTGGAGGTCTAAGGACCGTACTGCGACCGGGTCTCAAGTGTGGGGGGCTTAGAGTCTAAGTTTGGATGGGGACCTGGACCCCATGATAGGAGTAGAATGGGTTGGTCTTGTTTGTGCCTGGGGTACAAACAGGGCGTGTGTTTCGAGGTACCCAGCTGGGATACTTTGGTTCACGAATTGCCATTTCTGTAAGACGGTATGACTTGGCTATAGTCTAGCACCGTAGTAAGAACTGGAATATGAAAGATGATAAAATTGGTTCTGATTGCTCAACCCTCGCTTGAAAGTAGAATAGGTGCTTACCTAGAATAGTTAGCTAATGAAGTAATCATGACTGCTAATAAAACTTAATTGTAAGGATGAACTATCAGTAATGCTTTCCGCAAACAAAAAGAAAACAACAAACCCATATTGCCTATCATATCCTTGAGAGTCAGGAAACTATTCACACTAGTCGGGTAAGTCTTGCGAGTACATTGTGTACTCATGGTTTATTTACCCCTGTTGTAGGTATAGCTTGAGGAGTAGCTCTTGTGTGGAGGATTCTTCTGGTGGGCACAGACGGATCCTTGTATTGTTTCCACTAGATGTTTATTTTCATTCCGTTGTTTAATTATCGCACTCAAAACTCTGGTGGGCACAGACGAGCGTCTCCGAAAACGTGTTATTTCAGGTGGTTCTGCCACAGGTGGTATTAGAGCCTAAAATTTGACCAAAAAAAGATTTGTGAAAAATAGGATGCGATAAATTTATGTAAGTATAAGCCCTAGCAATATGGTCTATCTAGGATAGTGGCATTGATTTTATCTAATCAATCTTCTGTAGGTACACTAACTTACGCTGTGTAAGAATCATTTAGCGTACGGAAAGTGAGTGTGCGTTGTGCCAAAAATTATATGCGAATGCCGCTATATTCCGGCTTGAGCGAACGAATAGGTTGATCCATGCATCATGAAAAGAGAATCTTGTTTAAGCTAAACTCCCCCACACGTATAATTTTGGGTAGTAAATTGATAGGATAATAAATAAAGAGAAATGCTTTAACTCTTAAGGAAAAGTTCTCGCTTGTAACCATTTATTGGGCCTTATCATCTCTCTAGCCATTTGTTTCTAATGGAGGCCTGGTCCCTATCGGTGGTTTCCTATCTATTTATAGATGAACCTGGGGTCTGGTCGTGGGAGCACCAGTGTTGGGACGGGCCGTGGTCTTGGTGAAGACCAGGGCAAAAATGGTCGTGGCGATGATCATGGCAATGCCAACGGGGAGAGCCACGAGACCCTACTCCTTGGTCCTCCTCCTCCACCACCACCGCCTCCGATGACCTATGCAGAGATGATGGCTGAGATGTTGGCTGCTCGTCGCGAGTCAGCCCGTGCCCTGGAGATGCTGGCACAGGCTATTGGTGGAAACCATGGTCCCGAGAGGCCCTATTCCTATCCGGACTTCTTGGGGACACACCCGCCCACGTTCACGCTGACTGCTAAGCCTCTGTACATGGAGCATTGGCTTCATATTCTGGAGCATAAGTTTTAGCTGCTCAATGTGACGGACGAGCAGAAGGTGCACTTTGCCACACAACAGCTTCTGGGATCTACTAGTGCTTGGTGGGACACTTTTAACGCCATGAAGCCTATGGACCACCATGTGACTTGGTAGGAGTTTATCATTGCTTTCCGTCAGTACTATATTCCTGCTGGTTTGTTGAACAGGAAGCTATCCGAGTTTCTGGAGCTGAAGCAAGGAAACATGATTGTAATGGAGTACGTGAACAAGTTCAACCATCTTGCACAGTATGCTGGGACTCATGTGGATACTAATGAGAAGAAGATGGATCGTTTCAATCGTGGTCTCTTTTGCATCTTGCAAGAGAAGCCGTATACAGGGGGCTATCAGACCTTTGGTGCTTTGATGAATGCTGCCATTGCTATGGAGGGACTTTAGCGTGACTCTCAGGCTGAGTGGAAGTGCAAGAGGGTGATCACTGGGTCTTCTAGTCACCCATAGTCTCAGAAGGTACAAGTTGTGAGGAGGGTGTCCTATCACTCTCTAGGTGGACAGTCATCTCGCTAGACTTAGTAGACTCACCAGCCACCTCCCACTCAGTACCATGCACCTACTCAGCAGGTGCAGCAGCCTCAGGGATAGTAGGTTTCGCCTTGTCAGGGATAGGGGAACAAGTGTAGTAGAACCGCCCAAAATAATATGCTTTCAGAGGCGCTCATCATCCACTAGACACTAAGCACCTCGAAAGGGAGCTATATCAGATAGTTCCGTCGAGCACACCCCAAGGGACAACTCGAAAATCCACATTTTTCCATCAGGATCATAAATGAGAGAATAAAACTTATAACATTCTGAAGTCATTTCTTACATCACTTTATTACAATAGCAGAATATTACCTCAATTGATTATAACAGCGGAATCTAACAATATTATCAGAGTTACAGAGGAAACAAAGATTAATTTAACGACATGGTGGAGCATTAACGTAGTGGATATTTATATACAAGAGATGCTAGCAGATTTTATATCTTTCTTATAAAAACCTTTAGTAAGGGTTATAAATAAACACTATGGTTGTAGCATGAAGGGAATCCTCTCTGAGCCCAACAGGAGATTTCCACACACAAGAGTCAGCTCTAAGTATTCTCCAATCACCTACAACAGGGGAAATAAAACCCTGAGTACTTGATTGTACTCAGCAAGACTTACCCGATAGGAGGAAAATAAAAGACTCTAAGGATATACAAGGCTTATTTGGCTTGTGGGTTATTGCATCTATAGAAGCATTACTAAATGTGCGTC